TACTCAGTATGAAGCAGGCTCTTGACTTTGTGTTTGTTTTTGTGGCCTAGCTACAAGGCCACATTACAGTGGCTGATGTGTAGATGTGTAAACATGCAGGACTGATATGGTTGAGTGGTGACCTGTATTAGGTTTTCATTGCTTTAATGAAATACCTGAGGTAGGCTACTTAGGAAGATCTTACTTATTTGTCTCATAGGTTTGGACGTTCCAGGCCAAACTTGATACTTGCATGGACCTAGTTCTGTGCAGGGCCCTTAGGACTGTATCACATTATGGCATATGGCAATGGCAGAAATAGTACAGGAACAGGTTAACATTCAGGTAGGTTACTGTAATGACATTTCAGAAGTATTCCTAACGATCTGAAGACAAAGTCAAGAAAGGGAGCAACCCAGTGACCATACTCTAGCTCCAGAGACCAGAGTTTCCTTCCACAGGGCACCTGTTAGGCTCCATCTCTAGAAGATACCAATCTCCAACACATGAATGAATACTTGGAGAGCACCCAACCATGTCTACACTATGGCAGGGCTTTCAATGTAGAAACTTGGAGGTAGAAAACAGGTGAGACTAGCTGTAATGAGTGATGGTGCTAGAGTGACAGGAATGTGTGGGCAGAGGTTAGGACTTCCATCTATTTGTATTGAGCTCTTAGTACAATTTGCTGACAATTCCAGCTTCAAGGATCTGTTATGTAGGAGGTGATTGATATTCAGATTTAAGTATATCTGCTGCTTTTGAAAATGATGTAAATATAATTTCTCCCTATTAGTCCACCTTAGTCTGTCCTTTTTTTCTTTTTTCCTTTTTTTTTTTTTTTGGCAAATGGTTCTCAGGGTTTACATTCTGAATATTGTGAATGTAAAGATCAGCCACCCTTAATTAATTCTGAGTTCATATATCTTGATTATTACTATTATATTTCAGAGATATGAAGAATTAAAGATTAAAGCAACTGAACTTGTTTAATTGATTAATTAGCATTTAAAGGACACAGTCCAGGTGACTGTAGTTAGTTTACTTAGTATGAATCATTCTTGTAATTTTTTCAGTGTACTTTAGTATATTTGGAAATTTTTTCCATATAGGATTACAGCTCTTCCTTTTGATTTTGTCATGTGTGAGTTTATATGCCAGTGTCTTTTAATGTAACTTTATTCAGCTCCTGATTATAAATGACCTGGGTGGGCTAGGTGGTGCAGTGGTGTCTGGAGGTAGGCCTTGAAGTGTAGCAGGCAGGAGGAACTAAGGTTTAGTAGATGTCATGCCCTGTCTGTTTTAAACACCATGTGTACATGCATGTATTTTTCATCATCAACAACCAATGTATTGTTTTTAATCTGCATTTTTTCACAGAAAAAAAAACTGATAAGAAAAGAAGTAATTTGGCCAAGGGTACCTAACTTGTAAATCAGATGTTGTCAATTTGTGGATTTCAACTCCTTTGGGACTCAAATGACCATTTCACAGGGGTCACCTAAGACCATTGGAAAACACAGATTTTACATTATGATTCATAACAGTAGCAAAATTATGGTTGGGGATCACCACAGTATGAGGAACTGTATTACAGGGTCACAGCATTAGGAAGGTTGAGAAACACTGTAAGAAATGGCACTGAAATGCAGGCATTCTTGTGGCAGAATTAATGCTATGACTTGCTCTCCTATACTAAATAGGATTTAGATAAATGATGATTAAGGATTTAGACTTCTAGGAGTCAGATGGAGAAACCATAGTAGTCATTTGGGTCTTTGGCTGAGGCCTTGTCACCCAACTTTGAAGGAGATAATTGGAATGCAGGAGTCAAACATAGCTAGTATTTGCACTTGCTTTAAGGGTCTGTCCACCTGTGCGATTGGATTTGGTGGGATGTTGTATTAGTTACTCAGTAGTCAGCAGTGAGGTTGTGAAAGCTTCTGAGGAAGATAGGATTTCTCCTTGTTTGTTCCCTGCGTTGTTTTCAAGCTGCTGGATCCTAAATTCCTAGAATGCCCTGCTGGCAGCCTTCTCTGTCCTCTGTACCATTCCCATTCTCTTTTCTTCCTTTTGTGTCCACACTCCTCAAGTTTCTAGGAGAGTTATCTGCACATAGTAGCTATTGTTTTTTATCTTGCCCACCATTTGCTCCCCATTTGCCTCTTTCAACTCCCTCATAACACCATGAGGACAGTCCTCTGAGGGATGGCAGTGTGTGAGTCACTGTTCCTTCTGTAAGCATTTAGGCCTGACCTTACTAGTAGTTCTCAACCAGCCATTTGCCCTGCAAGGAATATCTGGAGATGTCTGAGACATTCTGGTTTTTAAAATTGAGGTAAGGAATGCTACTAGTAACCCTGAGGAGGAAGGCAAGAATGTAGCTAGGTATTTTATAAAGCACAGGATAGCTCCTACCTCAGGAGTTAGCTAGTCCCCAAATCAGTAGTGCACAGGCTGAGAAATACTGGTCTTGTTCAAGGATATACCATTAACCTCCATTCTTAAACATTTCTCATGACTGATTTGGTGTAATTCTCTCTTGACTTGTCTTCAGTAAATTTTGTTTCTGCCTTACTGTTCTCTGTTTGGAACTCTTTTGTACCATCCTTGATGCTAGTAATTACTGCTCACAATTCTCTTCCCAATCCCTAGTTTATGTTCATGTTTCATATTCTCTTTGCATGTCTCTTGGGTCCCAGGAATTTAACCCACTTCTCTGAATGTATGACTCCATCTGTACTCTGTGTTTGAACTCTCTGGAGCTCTGGTCATATTCTTCTTTCTCCATCACACAGGTACTTCCTGCTCATCAGGTCCCAAACAGGGAAATCAGACAGATCATTGTTCTTTTGACACTGCTCCCTGAGTTTAGGCTCTCACATTCCCATATGCTCAATACATTCCTTTCCTCCCTATCCCTAAGTTTCACAGTGCCACCACCGTAGGTATGGAATCTAAAACAACTTTTGAGTCTCAGTGCTTCCTTAGAATCTCATTTATAGAATGTGTTTTACATGCCTCTGTGTAGCACTTGGAACCTTTGTGATCAAGCCTAGTGATTCTCAGTTGGGTAGATCTAGGGGTTCATCACACTGGTAGAACAATTTGCTAGCATGGACCAAGGCCTGGAATTTAGCCCCAGTAGCCCACCCCCAAATCATAGGAAGTTGAGGTGGGTGTGGTTATACAAATCAAACGATCAGGATCCAGTGATGTTAACTTCCTGTAATACACTGAACAGTCACACTCCACAAAGAATTATCTAAATGCTGGTAGTGCCCTTTTTAAAGAATAGCAAAATTTGCTTTTAGTTTTACTTAGGGAAGTGAAGAGAGAAATGCATAAAAATGCAGACTGGAATTTAAGAGGGGGGAGTTAATGAATTATGTTGAAAATTGTACAAGTGCAAAGAGACCAATTGGGCTAGCCTGTTGGTTTGTTGTTTGCTGTGCTGGTCTTTTCTGGACAAGTAGTCACACTTAGCCCCTGCCCACATAAATGGCAGCTGCTGGTTTGTGCCTGTGGCATCGTGTCTCTTTCTATGATATAGCCAGAACTGCATGTACATAGTTCCTGCCCTGCTAGGCTCTTAATTTCTGACTTTGGATACACTTTTTGCTAATTTTACTTGTTTAGACCTTCAGCTATTACCTTACAAAGCTTCTTTAACAAATAAAAATGTAATAAACTGTGTAGAGAGAGCCCTGTTAATGATAATACAACATTAGTAAGCTTTCTGTGCTAGATACTGTGAACTCTAAGCATTATTTCTCACTAAAAATTATAACCTATACTATATAAATATACACATTATACACATTTATAAAAGTAAGATAGCATCCTACTTTCTCAGGGCTTGTATTCCTTGGAATTGAGATTTGCTCATTTTCCTCATCCCCCATATTAAAAAAATAGATTTTTTTTTTTAGAGCTGGTTGCAACAAAATTGAAAGTACAGTGAATTTGTGTATAGTCCCTATATTGCCCCTAAACAGAGCTTATCACCCAACTCAGCAGGTTCTGCACATAAATTGGGTCCTGAACCTCTGTTGCTACATAGTAGCTCTCAATTCTGTAGCTAGTCTTTAGGGTTCGGCTGGTGTTTATGTGCTGTGGATTTTGACAAGGGTGTAATGATATACAACTTCTGTCGTAGTATATCATACAGAGTAGCTACACCATCCTAGAAACACTTTCATCCTTCCTCCCTTCCCTGGTAGCCACTGATCTTGTTGAGTGTCTCTATCACAGGTGGTCTTGATGTTTTAAAAACATTCTAAGCCCAGATACTAGGTGGTTGTTGAGAAGCTGTAAGAATTCATTGTCTGTCAGTCTCCTTGCACACATTTACCTCTTAAGAAATGGGTCTGATTTCTTTATTTTGGGAATCTGTTAGCTGTTTGGACCCTGTGTGGGTAATGTGCAAGACTGCAGAAATACCTCCTTGTTGCTTTCTGTCGGTCTACTTTAATAAGATGGTTGTTTCTCTCACAACCGGACAGTGGAGTTCTGTGTAGGCCAATAGTTAGTTTGATCAGACATTCTGCCATTAGTGTCTGATGAGTCTAGAAGAAAAGTTAAGATGAGGCTGGTCTATTTTCACAGTGCTATTTCTTTTCAGGACAATCTAAGATCCCTGATAAAGCATTCAAAGATGCCACCTGAACTGGTTGGTTTAGTAGCTTCATATTAACTCCTAGTTGCTCTGTAGTGACTCATTTTTAAAGGAACTCTGGAACTGCCTGTTATTACACCCACATTGTGAGAAAATTTATACTGTCATAAGGCCTGAAACACAATTGAACTGTGAAGATTTGGACTTCTTGAAACTTACCAGAATGTTTTTCAGCAGATAATAATAGAAAATAAATTTCTTTGGGACTGTATCATATTAAAAGAAAATGATGAATGTTTCTAAATCTGCCTGATATTTTTTCCAGTGGTGGTATAACTGTCATGAATGAGCCAACAGGAATGGATGGGTGCCCTCTGGAGTCCTCATATCCTGTGTACTGATTCTCTTTTATTCTTTTTCTAGAAGCTCCCTGTGCCACGCCTCTGATCTGCAGCTTTGGGAGGCCAGTGGACCTGGAGAAGGATGACTACCAAAAGGTGGTATGCAACAATGAGCACTGCCCCTGCAGCACTTGGATGCACCTGCAGTGCTTTTATGAGTGGGAGAGCAGCATCCTGGTGCAGTTCAACTGCATTGGCAGGGCCCGCAGCTGGAATGAGAAGCAGTGCCGCCAGAATATGTGGACCAAGAAGGGCTACGACCTGGCCTTCCGCTTCTGTTCCTGTCGCTGTGGGCAGGGCCACTTAAAAAAGGACACAGACTGGTACCAGGTAAAGCGGATGCAAGATGAAAAAAAGAAGAAGTCTGGGTCAGAGAAGAACACAGCAAGGCCTCCAGGAGATGCTGGGGAGGAGGCAAAAAAATGCAGACCCCTGAACAAGCCCCAGAAAGGCCTGAACCATGACCTTCCCCGGCGGCATTCCATGGACAGGCAGAACTCCCAAGAAAAAACAGTCAGTGCTGCAGCCTATGGGGCCCGCTCCCCCTGTGGCTCCCCTGGCCAGTCCCCACCCTCTGGTTACTCTATCCTTTCCCCAGCCCACTTTAGTGGTCCCCGCTCCTCCAGATACCTTGGAGAGTTCTTAAAGAATGCCATTCATCTTGAGCCTCACAAAAAGGCCATGTCTGGGGGCCATGTGTTCAGAAATGCCCATTTTGATTACAGTTCAGCTGGGCTGTCTGTACACAGGGCAGGGCACTTTGACACCCCTGTACAGTTTCTGCGGCGACTGGACCTCTCTGAACTGCTCGCTCACATCCCCAGGCATAAGCTGAACACTTTCCATGTTCGGATGGAAGATGACGCCCAAGTAGGCCAAGGCGAGGATCTAAGGAAGTTCATTCTTGCAGCCCTCAGTGCCAGCCACAGAAATGTTGTAAACTGCGCTTTGTGCCACCGGGCACTTCCTGTGTTTGAACAGTTCCCACTAGTGGATGGAACTCTGTTCTTAAGTCCCTCAAGACATGATGAGATTGAATATGATGTTCCTTGTCACCTTCAAGGTATAGGTGTTGATTCACCTTGCCTGTTTTCTGTTTGTTATAACAAAAAAAAAAAAAAAAAAAAAAAAAAAAAAAAAATGGAATTGTGTTTTTTTTTTTTTTTTTTTTTTTTTTAAAAAAAAAAAAAAAAAAAAAAAAAAAAACCAATCCCATTTTTTTTTTTTTTTTTTTTTTTTTTTTTTTTTAAATTTAATTGTAACTGATGTGTTTTTGTTCTAGCCAAGGGCTAGGTAACATGAGTATTTCAGCTTCACCCAGTGGGCTGGTGGTTTTTGTACTCTGATGTCACTATACTGGGTACAGTTGGGTAATTCTATGTGTTGTTTTTTTTTTTAATTATTTCAAATTAGGAACAAGCTTGCTTCACATGTCAATTCCTTCTTCCTCTCTGTAATTCTGTGTTTTTGTCCTGTGATAATTTGAAGAAGGGATCACTGATGTTTAGCTTTTCACAACTGGGTGAAAATTTAAGAGAAGGAATTACATTATTGTCTTTGCTGTGAAATAGTTAGTTTAAATCCTTTAATGTGCCCAGCAGGCTGTGATCCTTATAAACAAGGAAAGCAGGAACAAGACTGTATGACTTCTTATTAATTGAATTAATTTTAAAATTGTGAAAGATGAGACTGTTGAAAAGGAAAATGGGGTATGATTGAAAGCCCAGACATGACCTTGGTTGGGGGAGTGTAGTGGTCAGCTTATGTGTATGGCAAAGACTTGAGCACATTTTAGCCGTAACTTGAATGGTAAGGAGTTGGTCAGTATAGGTGTGAAACTAAAACTGTTGAATTTCCAAAAGGAAGAAATGCATGATATATAACAGTTTATAACTTTAACAAAATGCTACAATGTCACATAAAAATGACTCCTGTCTTCCCACTAAACCCTGCTGTCTCCTCCCCAAGAGCCAAGCACTTAGAAATGCTGATTCCTCAAGGTTTTGGGTTTTTTTTTTTTTTTTCCCCTCAAGGTTTTTGACACCACAATTTTAAATAGTTGTTTTTATTCTCCAGTGTCAGGTACTGTCTTTTGACTAGACTGGTATTTAAGGTAAGTGACTACATTATCTCCCTCTGGGGATAAATCCCTAGTGTTTTTGCTTCGTGTTAGTAGTGTTGAACCAGGATTTGTAGTCCCATTGTAGAAACAATTCTATCAAGGACACTTAAAATTAGAGTTCATTTCCAGCTGTTTGTGTAGAATCTGAAGGTCCGAGTGCCTGAGAGTGGGGCTTTCAATTTTTGTTTTAACTCTGGAAGATTGCTGTCTCCCAGCAGCTTTGTAAACCACTTCTGTGCACTTAGCATAGTTTTTGAAGATTTTTTTTCTCCTTCTGTGAACTTCTGAAGGCTTTCATCCCCATGCTCTATTCTGTTCTGAAACACTCAGGACCTGCTGGAGACAGCTATTGTTATTTCCCATGTTTTAAGTCTTGTCTCCTAATCCCATAGTTTCTTCTCTTTATTTCCCCCATCAGTCATCCTCAGAAGCTTAGACATTACAAGTTTGAGAATAACCTTATTTGTTCTTCACACTTTGAGATTGTTTGTTACCTAGCTGGGTCATATAGCCCTTTAAATTACAAATATTTTCCTTTAGAAACTTGTAAAGTGTTTCTTCACTTTTTCCTATCTTACATTGTTACTGTCTGATACTCTTATTATCCATCCCCCCATCTTTATCTTCTCTAAAGGGTTTTGTTTTTCTCTTAACATCTCCGGTGTTCTGAAATCCCACCATGATGTGGTTCCTCAGCCCCTCCCCCTTCATTTCCTGTGGGCTGTCTTGGATCATTGAGTATATAAACTTAGATCCTCACTTTGGAGAAACTTTGCTTTTGCTTTATTTCTTTGATAAATTCCTCTCTTTATACTTAAAAAATACTGAGACTCCTGTTCATGTGACACTGTACCTCTTAGGTTGACATTCCCGACTCGACTCCCCTTTGATGGGAGAGAAAATCCTTTGTTAATCTGTACTCATCTCTATTATTCTGTCATTCATATATATACATATATATACATATATACATATATATATATAAACATATATACATATATATATATATATTCCCTATGTAGATCAGGCTGTCCCCCAAATGCTGGGTATAAAGGCTTGTACTACCAAACCTAGTTCCAGGGGCTTTTTAATAGTAACATATCCTTGTTTCTCAGATGCAATTTCTTTTGTTAGATTTCAGAGTAAGAAAAAGGAGCTATAGTTAGGAGTTGTCTTTTTTGCCTGATTCTCTGGAGTCCTTGAGCTTTTGTTATAAAGTGGGACACCCAAAGCCTAGTGGCCTCATGGGATTTAAAGCCCTTTCACAGTTCCATGGTAGGGGCAGGGTTAGATAGTATGGCTTCTGCTACACATCCAACAGGGTCTGGTTGGCTTCTGATGCCTTAGCTGGAATGGGCTCTCTATTACCCATGTTCACTTTCATTTTCTACTAGGTTAATTTGGGATTTTTTAAAGATGTGTTTTTAATTGAAACACAATTGTACATATTTATGGATTGTAGTGTAATGTTTTGATGCCTGTTTATATTGTGTAATGATAAAATTAAGGTACTGAAAATACCATTCACCTCATATTTATAATCTCTGGTAAGAACATTCAAAACCCTAGTTACTTTGAAAACCACTACATAATACTGTTGACTATAGTTGCTACAGAACAGTGAGACATTAGAACTTTTACTCCTCCTAACTGTAACTAGTTGTGTGTCCTTTAAACAGCTTCTTCACACCTACCCCACCCTACCTTCCTTTCCTAGCCTTAGGTAACAATTGTTCTTACTCTGTACTTCTATCAGTATCTTTTTACATGCCACAGCTTTGTGGATCACATGGTATTAGTCTTTCTGCCCCTGGCATATTTTTTTATTACTTAATGCAATGTTCAGGCTTATCCATTTTATGGCAGTATGATTAAATTTCCTTTTGGCTAAATATGTGTCTGTATGTACATACACAAAAGTGTTTTCTTTGTCCATTCATCATTTTGATGGACTCTTAGTTTGATTCTGTAGCTGTTGCGAGTATTGCTGCAGTGCCTATGGGAGTACAAGCACCTCTGACATATTTCATTTCCTTTGGCTGTTGTGATTTCTGGATCATATGATAATTTTAATTAAAAATTTTTTACACAAGTCATCACATATTCTATTATTATTATTATTATTAATTATTATTATTATTAGGTAATTTATAATTTTTGTTTATGTATTTATTTTTGAAACACTGTGTAGCTTTGGCTGGCCTGGAACTGGGACCTCAGAGATTAGGCTAGCTCTGCCTCCAGAGTGCTGAACTTAAAGGTGTGAGCTACCATGCCTGGCTCAATTTTTAATTTTTTTGAGGGAACTCTACTGTAGTTTTTCTGTCATGGCTGTACTACATCCCATTGGTAGTGGGTGAAGATTCACCTTGAACTTAACTCAAGTGGATGAAGCTGGAGGACATAACTAAATAAGCCAAGCACAGAAAGATGAAACCATATGATCTCATTCAGCTGCAGAGCTGAAAACAACTGTTTTCAGAAGTATAGATTGGAAGGTGTTTGACTAAGATCGGGAAAGGTAGGGGACACCCTTCCCAGGTTAGGAAAGAGAATGGTCAATGGTAGAAATACAGTTTGATGGGAGTTAGATTTTTTTTCTGTTTTGTAGAGGTGTAGTTTATATTTTTGTTTCTCATTTAGCGTAATTGCCAGTAATTTTAGGAGGAAATGGGTAAAAATACCTTTATTTCTACACCTTAAAACTTGCACCATACTTTATAGAAATGAACTAGGTTCCTGATGATGGGCACATTTATTTTTATGTCCATCAAGCATTCATTTGTCAATCAAACTCTGCACATGTGCTAGGTGAGGTCACCAATGTAAAATATTGGTATATAAAATGCATTTTATAAAATGTAACTAACTGTACTAAGCCCAAGGCTGTGAATAATAGCATCACACATGGAATTAGTAAATAACACATGTATTACATTGGACATTCTGAGATTTTCAAGGACAAAAGGGCCACTTGGGCTTGGTTGTTCAGGAGGCAGGATGAAGGCAGTGTGAGGGACAGCAGTTAAGAGAAAACCAACTAAGTTGTGATCAGGAGATGTTTGGTTGGAAATGTTGTAGAGTAGAAAATTAATAGGAGATGTGGAGAGCAGGCTGGGGCACAGGGTGTGTGTGCATATTTTCTTTCTTTTCTTTTTTTTTCTTTTTTTCTTTTTTTTTCCCCGAGACAGGGTTTTTCTGTGTAGCTTTGGAGCCTATCCTGGTACTCGTTCTGGAGACCGGCTGCCTCTGCCTCCCGAGTACTGGGATTAAAGGCGTGTGCCACCAATGCCCAGCTGTGCATAATTTCAAGCAATTGTAGAAACTCTTTGTCATGTAATTATGAATTGAGGTTTTTTTCAGCATTTAAAAGCAAACAATATGCCCAAAGAAGTTGCTTGAAAGGCTTGGGACCCAGAGACAGAGTTGAAACTTTGTCACAGCTGTATGCATGAAGATGAAAAACTATTGTCTGAAAATACAAAGGAAGAGACACCTGCAGGAGACTTTTTAAAAGGGAGATTACAGATTTGGAGACTCTGACTGTAAAAATGGAGGGTCTTTTTTTAATTCACCTTGATTCCAGACCAGATAAACGATGCTTTCACAGGCAGGAGTAGATGAGGTTGGGAAAAAGACCTGATTTCATAGGAAAGAAGGTGAGATCTTTTATATATGTTTAATTTTCTATGGAGGTGTCTAACAAGCACTGTTAGAAACAAACATTTGGGGTGAGCATGTAGGAACTTATTTTAACATCAGTGACTAAATCTTGTCAATAAAAAGCTCTTAAATGAAAAGAGAAGAGGAATTGGCTGTATAGAGTTCAAGTAAATCCTGAGGGTATTGATCAGGGAGGGGATGGAGAAAGGCAAAAATTAGGCCTGAATTAGTTGTAAGTCTGTACTCACACTGTATGTAAGCATACACAGATAATGGTTGTGTTCAGTTCACTCTACAGAGGTACTGACAACCAACTTCTGGTTTTAGAATCTGTGGTCAGGAGTTTAATGAATACTAGAGAAGTCAGCAGTACCACAAATAAGGCATTAGTCATGGGTCAGTGTTTCTATTGCTGCACCTCAGAAGTCTGGGTGATCTTATTTATAGCAAACTCTTATCCCAACCACACTTTAAAGCATTTTCAGTTCCAATAGAATGGCCACATTCTTGGCCATGGGATTCTCCAGTTCACAGTTGATTATATGTTGCTGAGATGTTTGCTGTGTTTATTGGATTGTTATTCCCTTGCTCTGCCCCTTACTCCTGGCCCTCCCCAGCTCTGCTCTGCTCTGCTCTGCTCTGCTCTGCTCTTCATAAGTAAGGTTGGTGTAGTTAAGAGGGACTTGTTTAACTTCTTTACTGCTGTGTATTATATGTGATTGCCCCATTAGGGCTCTGCTAGTAGAATCATCTTTCCTATGGCTCAGAAATTCTCTGGATAGGACATGGTGGAATAGTAATGGAAAACAAGTCCAGAAACTAAAGTGTGCACTCAGACTTCCAAGAGTTTGCTTGCCTATAGGGTAAGAGTCAAGATAGACATGCATTGGGTTTGGTCTTGGCTCCTTATTTTCTTTGTAAGTTTTCACAAGCCACTCAGGCTCTTTAAGTATCTGTGCCTCCTGTTTGAAATGGGGATAGCAATCAATGCTACAAGTCCTTTGTAGCATTGCAGTGAGGGTTAAATGAATTGATAGAGCGCTCACAGTACAGGGCAGACCCTTGATAGTGCACAGTGAACGTTCCTTGTCTTCATCATCACAGCCATTGTTACAGACAACTTCTATGTCTGGCATTAACTTCCACTAGCAGCATGATGTCATTGAATGTAACAAGTAGGACCAAGGAGGAGACTGAACATGCCAGTGGCTCATAGATAATTGAATTAACTTTTGGATATGGTCCCAGGCACTCAGTGGGTAAGGTGTATGAGACTGTGTTTTCACCATTTTAGAACAGGTGGGTGTATTGCAAGAAGCCCTCCCTTCTCTTCCTGGTTTTGGCCTAGAACTGCCCCCCCCTCCAGTTTATAGTGTCACTGGCTGTTAACATGCTCCATCCATTCATTTAGCACATAGAACTTTTCACATTCCTGACATTGTGCTGGACACCGAGTTGACAGGATGAATCAGGTATGGTTCCTGCTCTGAAGGAAAAAGAGGTTCATGTAAGCAAATGCAATGAAAACGTTCCCTCTAAGGACCATTAGATGCCTTTACACTAGAAAACCAAGAGCTGACTTTTGGCAGAGAGCAGCACATTCTGAATAAGAAGCTACTGTGCAGCATTCTGGGGTACTGTTCCCTGTTCTCAGCGGTGTTCCAGAGTGCTCTCTGTTCTCAGCAGTGTTGCTGTTACATATTGCCCAGGAATTAGTCATCCTGCACATGCCAATTATTTGAACATTTACCCTTTCATACAATTGGATGACCTCTTTCCTTTATAAATATTAAGTCCTTGATAAACAGTGAAGGAATGAGGTTGTGACTTTTAAAAGCCCAGTAAGTAATATGTTGGACTTCTAACGTATCAAGTAATATATAATTCTAGTTACTAAATTAGTTGTGGTGATAGCTGAGCAGTTTTGGGAATGAGGAAGTTAACATAGTAATTATGGCTTTGGTAAAATTCTGGGCTATCAATACAAAGTCAGGAATTTTTGGATGAAATTGGTTGGGTTACAGCTCATCAGACCAGTGTTGTTGGTTCATGTTGTTATGCCACACATAGACTCTAGAGAATCCTGGTGATTATAGGCTGGTTATAAGCATGTAGCTTTATTGTTTGGATTTGGATGGATAGACATTGTAAGCTGGGCAGCACATTTTAGAAAAGTCAATTAAAGCAAGTGTCTATTTTGAATAAATTTGAATTTGTTATATTGGTAGCAATCATTCACTGTTATCCTAACAGGACAGCTTACGGATGTATGATAGAAGCCATCTGCCTTGCTTTTTCTATTTATTCAAATGATAAAATGTTTGCTTTTTGTTGTTGATGGGGGAATTTTTATTGTCACTGGAGATTAAGGTGCTTTCCGCCATACCCACCCTCAGCCTTGTGCTTTCTGTATGCAGGGAGACTCATGCATCTGTATGCAGTGTGTGTGGACTGCCTGGAAGGGGTTCACAAGATTGTCTGCATCAAGTGCAAGTCCCGGTGGGATGGCAGCTGGCACCAGCTGGGTACCATGTACACCTACGACATCCTGGCTGCCTCTCCCTGCTGTCAGGTTGGTATCAACTGAAGTGAGAGTGCAGTGGGTGACATTGGGCTTCTGTCACCAAGGTAACTTAGAGAGTTAAAGGCTGCCTTTTGGTTCTCTTGAGGGAGTTTTGAGGGCTTGAAGAAGGTTCTTCTGAGGGTAAGGAATTCAGGTACCCAAGTTGTTACCTTGAGATAGAACACTATGTAGTCAAAGGGATATATACAACAATAGACTTGGAGTATTTGCCATGAGTTATGTCAGAAAAAAAAAAAAAAGCTAAAAAATATCATAACACCTTGCTTCCATTTGTAACTAAGCATGAAAAGTGCTGCTGAGCTCTGCAGATGGTCAGGTGGCCGGGGGTTCGATTTATATGCGTGGTTTCTTTAGTTTGCTTTTTGTTTGTAATTGTCTCATTTTGTGTGACTAATTTGTACTGCAGTTGTAGCAAAAGGTTACAATTTGAAATGAAAAGGAAAGTTTTATTTTCTAGAACAGACTAAATTTCCTCTTACTTACTGTCTGTGAGAGTTAGCAAAACACTAGCCTCTCATTCTTTAAGTTGTGTGAGGTTGACCAGAAAGATTTGTAATGCTTAAAGTACTGAAGAGCAACATTCTTCTCCGACTCTTAGGAGCACCTGAAGTGTAACTGTCAAAAGGAGAGGAGGGAGGTGTTGACACAGAACCCCATTAAATAAGAAACTAAGATAAAAATCCCCAGTAAAACCTGAATTTATTATTCCACATGCTTGAGGAAGAACTTGCTACATAATTCCATGATAGGTAGTCCTGGGTAGCAGAGACATTTTCTTCTATTACCAGTTTGTTCAGATGACCAGTTTCTGTTGAGTTCAAAGGCTGACAGAGACAGTTCTTCAGCTCTTTATTTTATTTTATTTTAGCCATTTGAGTATTTTCCAGAGGAGAAATATGGTCACAAGAGAGGTGGACAGTCTTCTTTTTCTGTCTTTTGGTTTTTGATAAGGTTGATTAGTTTTCTGCTTTTGTGGCATACTGACTACATTTACAGATTCAGTGTTAGCTAGTTAATCATTATCATGTTTTATGGTTACTAGTGTACCTTAGTGTCCACTTCTAAGATGAGAAAAACCAAAGGAAGTGGCACCTTTCTCTGCACATGTGTGATGTTGCATGAGCATTAGCCTTTTAATTAAGGAAATAGAGAAGTGAACAGAGGTTTGGGCCTCTTAAAACTCATGGTATCTTACTTAGTGTTGCATGGGACCTTGCATGGCTCACTCAGCCTGCTGAGTTGTTCCTTATAATGGATGACTCAAATTTTTGAATGTTTTGTTCAGGTCTACAAATTGTGTCACAGTTGTGACTAAAAGCTGCGATTCCTCTTCTGGTCTTCTTTTTACTACATAGGATTCCCATATCTTCAAAGAGAAATATATAATGGCATCCTGCCCACCAGCACTTTAGTATACACTGCATATATGGATATATGCCAAGACTATAGTTAATGGCCCCAACTGAAATGGAAAACCTGTTTGATTACTTTTTTTTTTTTTTTTTTTTTTGGGTTTTTCGAGCCAGGTTTGCTCTGTGTCCCTTTGGAGCCTATCCTGGCACTCACTCTGGAGACCAGGCTGGCCTTGAACTCAGAGATCTGCCTGCCTCTGCCTCCTGAGTGCTGGGATTAAAGGCGTGTGCCACCAACGCCCAGCCTTTGATTACTATTTATTATCAATCAATTGAAAGTATTCACTGTGGGGATATAGTAGTAGATACTACTAAGGATTCCAGGTAAGTCTGAGGCAAAAATAAGCAGTAATTGGCTATCAGAAAGGAACAACAGGTTAGAGAGAACTTTACACTCCAGACGCAGAGAGGGATGAAGTAGTTAAACGGGAGTTCATTTTAGGTTGTAGAAAGATAGTCTGTGTTGCTGAAATGTGCACTCTGGAGCACATTTAGTTTAAATCCCAGCTGTACTGCTTTCCGTTTTCTTGGGCATGGTATTTATCACTGTGTGCCCCTTTTCATCATCTGAAATGTAGATTATACTCCCTCACAGGAATGCTTTGAGGACAAATTTGTTAGCACATTTTTAGGAAGTGTCTAAATTAAGACTGTTTGATCTGTAACTTCTGCCTATCCACTTCACTCCCAGATCTATTGCTGAAGGGCTCCATGATCATGCTTTGAGAGGCCCAGGTACAGATGAAGGTGTCATATGCTAGTGAGTTCCAGAAGTCTCAAGATATACAAAGCACTCGAGCCTAGATAGCCAAACCAATTTTGATTGGATATTTTAGAGAAATTTTATTTTTGTATCTAACAGTGTTACGTGGAATCAAATGAAAGTGTATATGAGCTTTTGAAATAACTTGAACTCTTCAGGGAAGTTTTTCATGTAGGTTTGGCTGTGGGGGAGCCAGTTTCAGCCACTTACTAAAAATCTAGGGGGTAGGTGGTTGCTATTAGGTAACTAGTGGAAATGTTCAGGTGGTACAGTTTAGAATTCTCTCATTGATAGGCACCACATATTAGGAGAGAACTTGGGAGACTGTAATCTTTAGAAGGATGATAATGAATGCCAGAGTGTGTGTCTTAGATGTGTATACCCTTATTCTGTTAAAAATAGTGATGCATCACTGAATTTCAATCAGCTCCCAGCACTTTGATTAGATGGTTTTTGACTAGTGTTGTGAAGCCAATGGCATTGTGGCTCATGATGTCTGTTTCTCCAGGCCCGTCTGAACTGCAAGCATTGTGGCAAGCCTGTGATCGATGTACGGATCGGGATGCAGTACTTCTCTGAGTACAGCAATGTCCAGCAGTGTCCACACTGTGGGAACCTGGACTACCATTTTGTGAAGCCATTCTCTTCCTTCAAAGTTCTCGAAGCTTATTGATGAAAGCTTTGCTTTAGTAATAGCTATTTTATTGATATAATTACTTTACTACATATCTTTTATAGGGGAACATTCTGTGACATTAATTTCTTTTCTAATTTAAAGCAGAGTTTACTTTGTATATTTGTGCCACTAAAATGAGGGCTGCCCCTTGCCCTGTCTTGATTCCCAAATGTCAGTGTGTGGTTAAGACTGGAGCCTAAATGGGAAGTCATGCAGATTTTGGTAGGGTTTCAGTCTCCTGCAGAATCTCTGACACAGTTCTGAGGTAGTAGGAAGAATGGGTGACATTTAGGTGTGGGTTCTGTGGTGAGACTAAAGGTGTGGTGGAAGTGGGGAGGAAGCTTTTACTTAGCTCTCTAGTAAAGACCTGCTGTTAGATGCTTGGGCCTTGGGGAAAATGAGTGACAAGTGAATGTAGGTCTGAGCCTGAAGACTCTGTTCTTCAGTTCAGGTTGAGGTGCAATTTACTCCACTGACAAGTGATTTGAGAGTAAAGTTGAGTGCTCTTTCTTTGTTTATAAAATTTAACAGTTTTCATACTGAAAGTAATATCCAAATTATATGAAACTTGAAAAAAACTGTTGCTGATGCAAATGTTTTAGGTGAGCTGAATATAACAGGTCTTATGAAGTGAAATTGGAAATGATGCACACTGAATCAAGAGAGCAGAAAGACAGAACTTGGTTATTTGAATTGTTTCTCTAGACACTAGTCAAAAAACCTACAGAAAATCTGCACATGCTGTGGTTTTGGTGGGCATGGTTTACAGCTTGCATGGCTGAAGTAATTGTTTGGTATCCAGATCTTCTCAGAGATAAACCTCTAGCCTAACTGTGCTACAGAACCAGTCAGGCCACACGTCTCATTTATCTACTGCCACATAAACACAGTTAATACTGAGTTTCCAAAATCAGAGTTGACCTGAAGAAGAAAGGGGAAATTGGTTAGAATGATGAAGAACAGCTTTTATTCTTTTAAAAGTGCGTTTTGTTTTGGTAGCAGTAATGCAAAGAGCATATTTGAAAATAGATTATCCTGAAGATTCCTATAATCTCTTATTGTTTTTTTAAAATTACATACAGAATACCAGGTATTCCAAAAACAGCCCCTGTTTACTAGAACTTGAGGCTTCAATGTGCTGAAGACATCCTTGTAGAATTAGAATTAGAGAATTACTTCTCATGAAGGAATTTGATAATTTCAAGTATGATGCAGAAATACACATTAAAAGAATACTTAATATTTCATTAAAAGAATGAAATAATCATTTCATGAGTAGGCAATGTGGGGTTCATGTAAATATTTTATATTGATTACTTGGTTTATGCCATCCCCCAGGGGATTTTCTTTTCATAATTGTCTAAGCATTATTGCCAATGAGTTTTAAGTTCTACACAAGTGCTTGTTTTGTTTGAAACCATAGCATTAAAGAACCTGTGCTAAACTAAAACTCTTCATCAGTTGGTTTGTTACACCAACTTGTGGTTTGGTGTTTGATGATCTGAAAAGTTTCACATCTACAAGAAATGCTCAGGTTGCCTAGGACAAGCAGAAATCATCATTGGTCAGATGGTGTTTAATGCAATTTCGTGAGGTCTATAGGACATAATACTTGCAAATTTGTCTGTGATGCACAAAGCTGCAATTATGAGTTAGCTGTTTCCCTATGAATCTATTGTACACCTATGAATCTGTTGTATACTCAAGTTAAAATTTTGGTAAGCTTCTATTCAAATTCCATATTTCTGTTTGTTTCTGATTTTTAAAATAAATACTTGTAATGCTGTTCTTTAACCTATTGACATTTTCTATAAAACTTCATTATTGTTCGGAAGTCAATCTAGCCATTGCACCCAGTGAGTTCTTTAGATTAAAAAGAAAAAGAAAAAAGAAGCAAAAAACCAAAACACTATGGGCTGTAAGCCACATTCTGTTCTTGTTTCTTAGATTGTTTTCTGCCCCTCCCCAATGAAGAAGTTTCACTATAATTGGATAACATTTGCTTTTGATGTTATGTTGATGATAAAATGAGGACTATAGTTGTATGTAGTGATATAAAAAGAGAAGCATGAGCCCCGTACTCTAATAATTATTTTTTGCCTTTTAGTGCATTGATTACATTTTTGTCTGAAAGGAAAAACTTGGCTGATTTGAGAACAAAATACAGTTGAGTATACAGTAATTGCTTTAAAGATAAATCTTAGTTTGGAAATCTGCTGACCTTAATGTTTTCACCAAACTTTGGGTGAACATATTGGTTATTATTGGAATGTGTCAGGAAAGATCACCGTTTTTATTGAAGTTGGGCTTTTATTAAAAGGCATCAGTCATCCAGGAGATCTAACTTCTGTTTTTCTCATGAGTAGTAAAGTGATTTTTATCTACTTTAACATTTTTAATCATTTATTTTTAAAGAGTTCCATACTTTGAGCAATTAAAACTGCCTGTTCCCATCTTGAGAGAAGCTAATTTTTTATCATTTTCTCTTCAGGCCATCTCAACTCTCCGCTTTCATCTGATCACCCGATCACATGGAAGCACTTGGTAACCTTGGGCTTATTCCTTTAAAGGTAGACTTTATCCTATAAATTGGAGGGATGAGCAGATTGTTCTTTATACAAAGGAGCTTCCCCAGCATCCTGTAATTTCCAATTTTTTTGTAAAAGGGGTTCATTTTTGTAAGTAAAGGAAATTTCCATACCTTTCTGGGAGAAATTAACTTATGGAGGAAGAATATTACATGTTTAAATGCTTAAACTTAACAGATTGACCCATAACTTGCTAGATGACCTTTCTGAGTTCTTCATGTCGTCTCACCACACCAGTGCTGACTGTGCAGTCTGCTCTATGCCTGTTTTCTATCCTGTTTGTTTTTTTTGTTGAATTCCTTTTAGGAAGCACTTGTTGAGTAATTGTAGTTGGAAGATTGGGGAAGAGGTGAGGAGAAAGCACTTTTGTTTAGGGTATGGTTCCCATAACAGGATGCTGCATAGCCCAGTTAGCTTTCATGCTTTGTTGACTTTGTTATTTTTCCAGGTAATTGAAAGAAAATATAATGAATGGACACCATGAAAACCAGCTCAAAAATATGTTGTTGTCTATAAAGATTTCTTGTCAAGATGTTTGGATTGCACTTTTGTTGAGGGAAGCCGGTGTAAATACTTTAAGAATGTTGGTAAAATTGAAGCATTTGGGTTATGGAATCATGTGTGGTATTAGAGGGTTTCTATATGTGAAAGGTATGTATTACAAATAATAAAATTTTAAAAACAAACACTGAACTTGGCTTTAATGTGTTACTAGATTTTGTTGTATTTTTTGAGGAATGGGGTTGTTTGCTAAGAAAAGACAGTAAAGAAGTAGGGATATTCTTAGGAGTTAAAATAATATCCAGAAAACCATTCCAAAGTTACTTAACTAATCAAAATTATGAATTCTGGGCTAGTGAGATGGCTCAGCAGGCAAAGGTACCTGTTACCAAATTTAACAACCTGAGTTTTATCTGAAGAACACATGGTAGAAGGAGAGACTTACTCCAGAAAGTTGTCCTCTGACCAGAACATGTATGCTGTGGTGTGTGCTCATGTGATACATAAATGTAAAAAAAAAAAAAAAAAAAGAAGAAAGATAGAAAAGAAAGAAAGAGAAAGAAAAAAGGAGGAGAAACCCACAATTACAAATTTTCCACTGCTTACAAGTGTGTATTACATGCAATCAAATAATAGCAAATCTGCCTTCCCCCTTGTCTCATGTGGGTAGTATAAAATTATTGTTCTGTTTATAAAGAATTCTATAGTGTAAAGAGTGTTAAAGAAAAATTGAAAGTGGTTTTGATACACAGCAGACCAGCCACCATAGACATTGTCTTAGTCAGTGCTCTGTTGCCATGAAGAGACCCATGATCAAGGCAGCTTTTATAAAGGAAAGCATTTAATTGAGGCTTGTTTACAGTTTCCATGGCTGGGAGCATGGCTGCAGGCAGGCAGGCACTGGAGCAGTGCTGAGAACTTCACACCCCGGTCTGCAGGCAGCAGGTAGGGAGAAAGAGATGAGACTGGTCCTGGCATGGGCTTGTGAAATCTCAAAACCCACCCCAGTAACACACTTCCTCCAACAGGGCTACACTTCCTAATCCTTCTAATTCTTTCAAACAGTTCTACTCTTTGGTGACCAAGCATTCAAATATGTGAGCCTATCGGGACCATTGTTACTCAAATCACCACAGACATGTAGTCAAAACTTAAAAGTTATCTTGGTTTTTCCTGAATGTTAGTTGTAACGACAAAACATGCTTTATGTCTGCATCAGCATGACTTGGTTGAGATTAACCCAGCTGTCACAGAAAGACTGTGTAACAACCAGTAACACAAGAGGGCAAAACCATTATGCTCTGTAAAAGATGCTGTGATGGCTTTGAACTGCCTTCCTACACTTCCTCTTGGATCTTTGCTGGATTCCAGGTGCTGTGATCTCTGCTGTGTGGAACCCATGTCAGCAAAGTAGGGACCTCAGTTCTTACTCCAATGGAGAAAAAAGCTGTTCCACAGTGGTGGCAGTTGAGTTTAGCAGTAGAAAACTCTTTCCTATTCTCAGTGATTACCACTTTAAATCTTACCTGCTGTTTTGATTTAAATTTGACAAATTCTACAAATAATTAGATTGTTCATTATATGCGTGGCTTAGTAAAGAGTTAAATTTAGAAGGAAAAAGCTTGTCTTAAGCATTCATGTTTTCCTGTTCTCTTAGCTTTTCATACTGGGGGTAGGAGAATCTGATGAATGTGAAATGTGCATAAAGACAATATTATATAGATGTAATATTTGAAATAATTTATTTTAATGTATACTTCTGATAATTTTATAAACTTGAGCTGGTATTGTCAAGCCATGAGAATAACAAAAACAAAATAAAGTAAAGGAATTTGTTTCATGGAGTTCAGTACAAAACTGGTCACTTAACACTTAACTGTTAGTGAAATTGTGGGTTATGACCCCATTTCTTTATGGATACCATATCAAGTGTTCTGATAGTACTTGACTTAAAATGTTGATAATACTTGATAATACCTTGAAATCAAGCGTAGAACTATCTTGATTATTTTCATAACACAATTACTATTGATGTGGAAAAGTCAATAGCTGTAGGAATGATAGAATTTAGAGATGTGAGAGTTTAGAACAAGGGCTGGGCTTTTCATTATATGTACGTGGTCACTGTTTATTAAATGACATTGCCTGTGTTTCATTTTAGAGATATATGGAGGCCCAAAGAATTTGAAGTTGACATATGTCTAGATGGCATATCCAATTTTTCCTCCTGTTTTCTGTAACCATATAAACCACCTTCCTATAAACCAGCAGTGTCCTATTAACTGTGAAGATACACCATAACCATGCCAACTCTTATAAAGGAAAGCTTTTAATTTGGGCTTGCTTACAGTTTCAGAGGTCCACTGTCATCATGGTGGGGAGCCTGACAGCAAGCAGGAAGACATGGTACTGGAGGAGTTAAGAGTTCTACAACTGGATCCACAGGCAGCAGAAAGATACTAGGCCTGGCTTGAGCTTTGGAATCCCCAAAGCCCAACCGCAGTGACACATTTCCTTCAACAAGGCCACATCTCTCAATCTCTCTCAAGTAGTGCTACTTACTAATTATCAAGCAATTAAATATATGAGCCCTTGGAGGCCATTCCTGTTCAAGCCACCACATTCCACTTCTTGGCCCCCATAGGCTTGTAGCCATATCATAATGCAAAAATGCATTCAGTCCAACTTCAAAAGTCCCCATGATCTACAGTAGTCTCAACACTATTTGAAAGTCCAAAGTTTCTTCTGAGATTCATGTCAGTCTCTTAACTGTAATCCCCTAGAGGGAAAAAAGAAGATCATATGCTTCAAAGATACAATGGCACAGGGTATATATACGTTACCATTCCAAAAGGGAGGAAAGGGAACATAGAAAATACTGGAACAAAGCAAGACTGAAAACCAACCAGGCAAACTCCAAACGAAGAAAGTGAGCCTACTGTGAAAAGCAGCATTAATCCTATAGGAGGATCACCTCAGTAAGGTAAGTTCCACCTTCTAGCAGTGTTGCATGAGGTGAAATACCTAACGTATAGGTTTGGGCTGATATATTCACATAAAGCAAGCATGTTCGAAAACATTCTGTACGAAGTTTTAGAGAGGAAAACAAAAAATGATTGAGATAATTGTGGCTTTTATTTATTTTTCAATGATTAATTTGTTGGCATCTCTTCCCACTTGTTCTCATTCAAACCACCAGAGAATAATTGTTGATAGTGTTAGTAACTGCAAATCTATGGGGTGGCCATCAGTGTTGTGTATCTTGTTCATCACATTAACTAGTCCGGTTGTTCTGAAGCTCCAATATTATAGCAGGTTGATTAGGGAAATAAGGCTAGAGGAAGGTCATGGACAAGCATTTCTTTGATGCCTCAGAACCCCATGCTCCTAAAAAGAGTAATTTGGGAAGGAGTCCGAGATGACTGAATATTTTAGAGAGCTTAGTGGAGATGATAAGGTTACCACAGGCCTGCACAGGATGTCTGAAAGGTCATTTCACTTTGCACAAGGATTATAGCAACTATGACTGTCTACAGTGGTGGAGAAGCACTGGGAGAAGTGCTTTTGATGGATAATATATAAGAACATAAATTATTAATAATTACTGATAGTTTTGTAGACCTCTCCTTTCAAAATGTGAACATGGTATGTTGAGTGGGAGGATAGGTTTTGCTGATGCAAGAGTTGACAAATGCCATTCCTGTGTTCCCACTTTTTTCTACTCCCTTTCATTTATCGAAATGTTTATCATATGTTTTCCTTACCTACCATCTTTCTCCTGTCGTTTCTCCTTCCTTTCTTGTTGCATCAAGTTTCCTGATCTTCAGCATATGGTAAAAGTTCCCAGATAAGCTGTTGTGTGGCACTATTCCTGAAGAGACAGGAATAAACCCCTACTCACCCCAAATAGGGAACCAGTGACAACCAAAGTACAAATAACATCCAAGTCCAACTTAGCAAACCATTGAGTTTTATTGGAGTTACAGGAGCAAAGTGATGCAAAGCCAAAAGCCCACCCCAGGATAGGTGAGACAGCTCACAAAATCTGGAAACCTAGAGCATACAGCACAATACGAAGGCAGTTCTACAGGTTGGAGAGTATTCGTTCCAAGTAGTTCAGTTGATATGGGTCCCTTTCAGACAGCTCAGCTGGTTTCTGTTTCTTTTAGGCAACTTTCTTTGTCTGAGAGTCTCTCTCAGCTGTCCTTACTTGTATATGCTTGGGGATAGAAGGGCCTAGTGATTCTGTGTTGAAAGGTTTTTGCTGACTTGTAGAAGTTGCAGTCTCCCCATGGCCTGTCAGCTTATCTC